CCAAAACTGAACTCATCAAGTCTTATCTGTTCTTCGTGCCATGTGTTATCTCCATTGGCTTTCTCTTTTATTTTATAGGCTAATCATGCCAGTTGCTTAGGTCCAAGATCTTCTACCTATCAGGGATATTCTTACCTATAATATCCGTTGTCAGAGTTCTCCTCTTTCAGAATGTAATCGAATTTCCATGCTCCTGTATCTCCTTAGTCAAATGAATCCCTTTCTCCGATGTTCTCAGCACACTATAATTCCTATTGCACAGGCGCCATCTCCTTTGTATTAAATTGTGTATCTCCTGATTTGCTTACAGAAATACACGCGCACCTACTATGTAACATATTAGATGTTGTGCATGTTTTTACTTATTCATCATAGAACCCATTTCACAGATGGAAATAGTAAAGCTATCTCCTTATCTGCAAAAGGAACTCTAAACCCCATTAATATCTTAAATACCTATAGTATGTGGTATAAATATGAGCTTAATACATGTTTTTCCTTTGGCATTCTGGCAAAATGTTTAATACACACAAAGTATTCAGTGAGTGTTTGTTGAACTAAATTGAGATAAAATGCAATTCAAATTTCATGAAAACCTTTAGGGTGTCCGTTTTTTACAAGGTGCATTTTGAAGATTATATTTGGTTTATATTTATTTACCTTGTTTTTTTTTTTTACGGTGATAGAGGGTACAGGCAAAAGATTTATCATCCTTTATTCTTCCCCAGACCACTGGAAGGAAGTAAACAGCAGTTATTAGGTATTGGCAGTAACCCTGATGTCAACATTTCTCAAGAGAAAGTTCCACAAAGGAGGAAAGGAAGAAATATGATCATCAACAAGTAAATTATCAGTTACCTCTTGCCTACTGGAAAATGCTTTATAGACTGTTGGGCAGTTTACAGTTGTAAGATAGTCTCATTACTTTGATGACTACTAACTAGTACTACTAGCATTACCATATGGCTCTGTGCTAGCACTATAACAGTATAAAAATAGCCCTGGCTGGCTTGGCTCAGCATCGGCCCGTGGACCAGAGTCTTGGGTTCGGTTCCTGCTAAGGGCACGTACCTCGGTTGTAGTTTGTCCCTGGCCCCAGTTGGGGTTGTGTGGGTGGTAGCCACTTGATGTGTCTCTCTCACATCGATGTTTCTCTCTCTCTCTTCCTCCCTCTCTCCCTCCTGCTCTAACTGAAGATAAATGAAGAAGAAAAAAAAGTATAAAAAATATATTCTGGAAATTAGAGTCTAGTTTAATAGGAATGTGACAAAGCATATCAGATAAAACTCATTAGGGACATAACAGTAACCATGTTAGGTTTATGAACTCTGTAACAATTAACACGAGCAACCAGAGACTTCTCCTAAGAGGAAGAAGTAGAGAAGAACATTTTTAAAATAGGAGTTTAGCCCGGCCAATATGGTTAAGTGGTTGAACATCGACCCCTGCACCAAGAGGTCACCAGTTCGATTCCCAATTAGGGCACATGCCCAGGTTGTGGGCCAAATCCCCAGTAGGGGGCATGCAGGAGGTGGCCAACTGATGTTCTCTTTCATCAATGTTTCCATCTCTCTCTCTCTCTCCCTCTAAACTCAATAAAGAAAAACATGAAAAAAAATAGGGTTTAGGATTATTGTAAAGAAGAACTAAGGGGAGAGAGGATTACCTCTGGATTGATGGTCACAGTAGTCTTTCTTCAGGAGGTAAGAGGAACATAGCAGGGCTGGGAAGTCCTGGTAAGAAAGCAGCAATAAAAAATACAATTAAAATCCATGTAAATACTCACAATAGCCAAAGGCTAGATGCAACCCAAGCATCCATCAACTGATGAATGTAAAACAAGATGTGGTATTTGTATACATACAATGAAATATTATTCAGCCTTGAGAAGGAAGCAAATTCTGACCCGTGCTATTTGAAGATATTATGATAAGTAAAATAAGCCAGATACAAATAGACCAATACTATATGATTTCACTTGTATGAGGTACCTTGTGTAGTCAAATTAATAGGGACAAAAAGAAAGCTGGTGGACAGCGGCTGGGTGGAAATGGAGAGTTAGTGTTGAGTGGATAGGGGGTTTCGGTTGGGGGAGATGAAGTTCTGGAGATGGACAGGGTGATAGTGGCAGAACAATCTGAACGTGTTTCACGTCACAGAACCGCACATTTAAAAATAGTTAAAATGGGCCCGGCCAGTACGGTGCAGTGGTTGAGCGTCCATGACCCATGCATCAAGTTCAATTCCAGGTCAGGGCACGTGCCCATGTTGTGGGCCCCATCCCTAGTGGGGGGCATGCAGGAGGCGACCAGTCGATATTCTATCTCATCGATGTTTCTATCTCTCTCTCCTTCTCCCTCCCTCCTTCTCTAAAAATCCATAAAGAAAAAAAAAGATTAAAATAGAAAATTTCATGTTATGTATATTTTACCACAATTAAAAAATTGTAAAAAAAAAAAACAAAAAACGATCTAGTGATCTCTTATTATAAGGGAGGGTTTGTGTGGCCTTGACCCTGTCCTGTTAGAAACACTGTCATAGATTCTGTTAGAAACATTGTAGTCTGACTACAGGCAGTGTTGAGAAGCTGACTCAGAGTCTTGTTTTTCCTTAGAAAATACAAAGTTAAGATAAAAGTGGAATGCTGGCCTAAGACCTTTTATCTGAATCTCTGCCCTTGGGTTGGAACCAGAGGCAGCTTCTCTGTGTCAAAGTGACCTACATGGCTCAGATTCTTTAAATATGAGATGTTCTCTTCTTACTGAAATAACATCAAATAGCAACATTTCTCATTGCCTGTGATTTTAAAGAGCAAGATTTCTCGGTCCTATACACTTGATGTTAATTAACAAAATCAGGTTTTATAGGTTCACAGATTTGAAAAAGACAAAAAACAGCCCCTCAGCGTGGAGTAGCTTTGAGATCAGTTCTGTTAAGGAAAAGGGAACGAAATGACTGAGCCCACTGTGGGAGAGACAAGGCTGCTGTCAGACCCGAGACCTCCATTCGCTCCAGTCTGTCCTCTCTCTTATTCACATGATTTTGATTTGTTAATTTGGTGCATGTATTGCTCTGCTTTGGGACATTAATATTTAAAATCACTAATCTAATGATATTATACACAAAAATCAATGAACTGTACAACTTCTCACCTTATATTGCTATTTACCAAAAACGTGTCTTTATTTTTATAATGAAGGTACATTACTATGAAAACTGAAGTTTCAAAAATGTCCACACATGATTTTGACTATCTGATATTTTAAATTTATGATAATAAAAAAATTTAAAATCTTCATTCGAAGATATATTTTTATTGATTTGAAAGAAGAAGGGAGAGAGAGAAATATCAGTCAGAGAAGCATCAATCCGCACAGGCCCTGATCAAAGGGAAACCTGGTGTACAGCACAAGGCTCCACCCAGCTGAGCCACACAAGCCAGGGCTGATAGTACATTCTCAGGATATAAATTCTTAAATGTAAATAGCATTTTGTAAGTTGTAATTTGCAATAAAACGGACTAATGTTCCAGTAGTAACTTTGAAAATGAGAGTTCTTAGAAGTTTTAAAGAAATAATACTACTTTAGGAAGATGGTGAAAAGCCCAATTGATAAAAGATTATACTTCAACTGAATGAATATACTTTCTATGAATGAAGTTCAAAACTAAGAAACAACTAAAAAAGAAATGTAGGCTTCTTCTTATAAAGTAGGCTACAAATGAATAAAAAGCTATAGCAAGACATAGTGACTCATCAGGCAATGTGATTACAATATAAACACAGCCTGCATAATGGGAGTCTTTATACTGAATATACATAGTCTGTGCACACAATGTGATGACCCTTCAAAGAGTTTCTCTGCACCTGGGCTGGTGGTGGGTTGGGTACAACAAAGGAGTTGAAGGTGAAGCCCACACATTCTTAACAGTCTGATTAGGCAACAAAGTTTCTCTCTCACAAAACCAGCTCACCTGGTAGGAACGACTAGACTACACACGGTGGATCACAAGCTCTGCAATTAGTGGCAATATGACTTTCAGAAAAATATACAGAGGATATAATCCCAGGCTGAAATCAATGCTTGTGACAAATTTACCACTCTGCACAGAAATTTGCTACCGAATAGCCAAGATTTAAGAGATTTGAAAGTCCTGTTGATGGCCAACTTTACTTGTGTAAATGATGGATTAAACATAGTTTCATTGAAACCAAAGCAGCCCTGGCCCGGTGGTTCAGCTGGTTAGAGCATCCTCTCAATAATTCAAGGTTGCGGAGTATGGCCCCTAGGGCCCCTACAGGAGGCAACGATGTTTCCCTCCCTCCCTCCTTCCCTGTCTCCCTCCTCTCAGACCCCCCAACCCCCCCAACTACAAAACAAAGCAGATTACAGCCCGGACGGAGGTATTTTTAGTTCATTTTAATTTAATTTGCCGCCTGAATTCATTATACAAGGACTAGACTTAACTTTGGGGACTTGTAAGGGCGGAGTAGGAGTCATCACCAAAAGCTGAACTGAAAGACAGCATCCCTCTGCAAGAGGTGCCGCTTTGCCAGCGGAAGAAAGGGACTGCAATCACCCAAAACATTTTTGTCAGGGAAATGAGAAAAATACCCAGTGTGCGGAGTGGAGGGGCAGGTAAGTAAAAAGTAAATAAATAAATAAAAAGCGGGGGTGGGGGGGGACTAAAAAAGCAAAGATATATTTGAAAAAACAAAACCAAAAATAGTTAACCAGGTCTTTTTCTACCAAATAAAGTAAGAAAGTTTTTTTTAATAACTAGACAGTTCACACCTAACCCAAACTCAGGAAATGCCTCTGAAACGAAAAAACTTAGTTCTGAAAAACAAGCGCGTCCAATAACATCCGAAAACACGTGGCGGGGGTGGAGCAATCGCTCGCAATAACAGGCGAGACTCCAAGTCCCAGCAGCCTATTCGCGGCTCAGCCAGGCTGTTCAGGGAGAGCCAGCGCACTGCATGCTGGGTCTTGTGGTTTTCGCTCCTGCGCCTCCCCGCGGGTTTGCGACATTTAGCGACTATCGCGCCTGCGCCAGCGCCGGAGCGGCTGGGGCTGTGGCTGCTCGTGCCGGGTGATGCTGGGCGGCTCCCTGCACTCCTGGCTGTTGCGCGGTGTGTGTGGGAGTCGCGGGCGGTTCGGGGCGCAGAGTGCCCAGGAAGGTGGCGCAGCCATGGCGGCAGGGGAGAGCATGGCCCAGCGGATGGTCTGGGTGGATCTGGAGGTGAGCGAGGTCGGTGGGGGTGGAGGGGAGCGAGGGAGGTTCGTGCGGACCGCGGGGCTGAGCCTGTCCGCGGAGAGCGGCAGGTCTGGGTGTCGGACGCGCAGGTAAGTGTCTCCGGTGCGGGCGGTGCGGGCCAGTCGGCGGCAGGAGTTCTGCCGGGTTCCGGGGTGTCTTCTCAAAAGGGGGGAGTCATCCATATGGTTGCCCCCCACAACTCCGCCTAGGTAGGGACCTCTCTAACTTTCTGGTCCCGTTGAGCTTAGGGTCACAGGGCCGGGTTAGACCCCACTTCCCCAGCCTTGCAGACCCTAGGTGGTTGGAGTAGACCGGACTCCGGAGATGACTCAGCCTTACCCTTCATCCCGTAAACCAGGAAACTGAGGCCCGGAAAGGGACTCCGCTCCTTCAGGCCATACAGTTGATGAGGGTCTGAGCTGGGATTCCATCCCAGTTCGGTTCCCTGTAGGTTTTCCATACTCATGGCAAGGACACCCCCTTCCTTGAAGTCTCAGTTTTCTCGTACGAAATGAGGGTAATAACAGTACTTTCTGCATTTAATTGTGTTGACGATCAAGTGGTCTAATCAAATATGTGAACTTTGTAAACTCTGCAGAGATGTGGTGATGGTAGTTAGATCTAACTCTTCCAAAACGGAGTGCTGTCAGCACTAAATTTTGCATGTGTCCTAGAGTAGAACTGGGGTGCCTGACATATAGCAGGTTTTTGGTAAATGTTTATTGAATAAATGACTACTGTTTAATGCCTTGAAGGCTTGCCAAGAAGCATTATCCTTTCTTCCATCTTAGATGTGGGATAAGAATCGAATCTGCTTGAGGGAATTCTTGTGAAATAATCTTGAGTAAGATAGGTCAGAAAGATGGTTTCGTGTGTGTTATAGATTTATTTATTTTTTTATTACAGATGACCGGATTGGACATTGAGAAGGACCAGATTATTGAGATGGCGTGTCTGATAACCGACTCTGATCTCAACATTTTGGCTGAAGTACGCGATGCCCTGTAACATACCCATACTGTTTAGAGTATATTGGAAATCTAAAGATCGTTTTTCCTTGTCTCTTTATTTAAAGAATAAGATTAAGGTACAAAGTAATGTGCTAGGTCATGCATGGTTGGGTTGGTACTAGAATCAAAGTAGTTCATCTCACAGACTGGTTATTGTTCAATAAGCCATGCGAAAAGTTACAGAAATGTCAATGCTGTCATTTACTGGGCACCCACTGTGTACCAGGTTTTAAGCGCTTTACATGGATTCACTCTTAATCCTGACAATGACTTTAAGGTAGGTACTGTTATACTCATTTTACGAAGGACGACATATTAGCACAGAAATGTTGGGTAATTTGCCCAAGGCCACCTGGCTAGTTGTTGCAGGAGCCAGGCATTTCACCCAGGCAGTCTGAGTAAAGTGCCTCTAACCAATAAGACAACCAGCTCTCCAGTCCCGTCAGGATTGGTGACTCAGGCCAAAGTTGAGTAAAGTGTCCCTGACCAATGGGACAACCAGCTCTCCAGTCCCGTCAGGATTGGTGACTCATGCTGAAGTTGAGTAAAGTGTCCCTGACCAATGGGACAACCAACTCTCCAGTCCCATCAGAATTGGTGACTCAGGCCAAAGTTGGTATCTTTCTATCATAACTTTAAATTTAATTTGACTCCATATATCCAGGTTTAGCCTTTTCAGCTAGGACATGTGATTCTTCTAGATCTGTGTTAGATTTTAGAAAAATCTGTTGATACAGAGTCATAAAATATTCTCTTGTTGACATTGGGCATGATTAAAGTTTTAACATGCTGCTTTTAACTGAAACATTAAACAAAACAAATAAAACACACCTGTTGCCTTTGGCCACCCATGAAACATTTAATAAGTGTGTGACAGCATGTGATTGGTAGAGAGTGAAATCCCTGGCCTTGAATAACTCTGTTTCATATTGTCAGCAGTATTTAGAGGCAGTGAGAGACTAGAATAGGAACAGTAGGTATGCCCATGGGAAAGATAGTCTTGTTAAAATTAGTTCCCAGAGGGTAGAATTGATGTGTTATTGGCACTGGATAAATTTCATAAATCTGTAGTTAAGACTTACTTTCCTGGGTAGGTAAAAGAGGGGAGAAGGCATTTATAGATGAATTGCTACTTTCTTGGAGTACCTCCTGATGTATCAGCTGGAGGAGAATCATTAGACTTTGTATTTCTCATTGTAACAGCTAACTTAAAAAAAAAAACTTTAAATAAATAAATAAAGCAATTTCTTTAAACAAATAAATAAAGCCCTAGTTTTAGGTATGCTTGTTTTAAATCCTGTCACTTGGAATTTACTAGAGATGAATAGTGAAGAGAAGTGTCTGTATTTACCAGCCTTACTTACCCTTGGCCGAAGAGGAGTTTTTCCCTTAGACTGTTGATATACTGTGGAATACTGACAGTTGAATCTAGCAGTTAGTTGATATGTACCCCGGAGGAAATTTGGGGCCATGCACCAGCTGCAGATGAGTGCAGACATTTGTAAATAGACTCAGTCAGATGAGGATAAGATGTTAAAAAAATGCTTGGGGGCTGCTGGCACTTAAGTGTCAGTTCTGGGGAAAACAAGGTTTATTTTTGTATGAGTTTGAGGGAAAGTGTTTTATACTGGTAGAAGAACAAACATCCTATCCGAAAAGTTTTCTGTGGGGGTGGCTTATTGGGATCTAGAATAAGTTAGCCTTAGATGGATAGTAGTTAATTTTTCCCATCATACTTTGGCCAGAACTGTTTTTTTACAGTAAGAGGTTTGCTTTTTAAAAAATATGTAATCAGAGCAGATTTTTTTGCTTCCTCATGGAGCTTGCCATTACCAGTTTTCTTGTTTGTTTAAAACTCCTTGTTAGTTGTAGGATGTCAGGCATATTTTAGTCAAATTTTAGCTGTTCTTTTCAGTGATTGCAAACTATTTTTTACCACCTTAGTCGTAATAATACCTTGGATTTATAGTACTTTTCTTCTAGAGAGTTCAAAGAACTTCCAAATCTGTCATTTCTTTTATCTTGTTAGCATCTCTTTGAGGGAAGGGGGGTGGCAGTGGTTCAGAAGGAGAAACAAGCCCAAGGTGATTGGCTTTAATGACAAGTCGGGCTTCTGGGACTCTCCAAGAGACGCACAGTGGAATGTTCTGTTAAAGAGCTGGGAATCCAAAGGCCACTTTTATTTTTCAGTGGTCACCAATTACCTTTTTAATTTTTTAACATGAAAATATAGTTATAATTAAATAGTATAATTTTATCCAAAAAATAAATATAATTTCTTGGTTTTTTGCCCTGTTCTTCTGCCCCATGATACTCCCAAAGTTTATGTATTTTCTTGGTATTTTGTATGCATATATCTGTGTATGTATATTAAACAAATGTGAGATTAAATGCTTGTATGTACTGTTTTGCAATTGGCTTTTTTTCACTTGGCAATATAGACACTTCAAAATGAACTTAAAAGCAGGGATTGGCAAGCTTTTCTAAAAAAGACCAACATTGACTATTTTAGGCTTACGGTGCCACATACGGCTCTGTTAACATGTGTGTTGAATAACTCTTTACCAGTGTAAAAACCATTTGTAGCTGGCTGGCAGTAACACAGAAAAAGCCACAGGCTGGGCTATAGTTTGGTGACCGATGATAGAGATCTGTTTCTTCTCTCAATAAGCATTTCAGTTTTCAGTTGTGCATGCGTTCATTTATTCTGTGTTGCCATTATACACAGTGCTAGAATGAAGGAGTGCCACTTTTAGAGTTAACCAAATGCCCTCATCACTTACTTTTTCTGTATATATATTTAATCCTTGATGCAGCTTAAACTTGACCTCAGAAACCAAGGTTATCCCTGTTGATTCTGGATGACTAATGGCTTTTCCTGTCCACAGGGTCCTAACCTGATTATAAAACAGCCAGATGAGTTATTGGACAGCATGTCAGATTGGTGTAAAGAGCATCATGGGAAGGTAACACTACCCAATATCAGGATTCCTGCTTTGGGGAGCAGTAACAGCATCTGAATCCTATACCATTGTTGGATGGTATTTAAAACGGGTTACAGGAAGATTGCTTGGCAAGCCTGGGCAACCGCTTTTTTGGTTTACTTTTCATCTCTGGGACCTCTTGAGATCTCCTCCGAAGGTCCTCTTTTTTCCGCTCAGTCTGTCACGACTGTGTTGTGGATTGTCAGGATCGCGCAAATCAATCTTTTGGATAAGGGTAGATGTCAGCTTTCAGAGAAGGGGGTATGCTGCCGTCCTCTTAGTGGTGGTTTCTTCCCAGAGATTGTGTCCTCGGACTTCGAGTACCACTTTTTTTGGCTGTGTGGAAATGCCATTAACAACCAGGAACATAGCGTATTTGACTTGGATTCTTAAGAAACAAATGCTGTGCAAAGATGGCAGCTTCGCTTTGAACTTGGGCTCTGTAAATGGTCCATTTATGGCTGTATTTGCTCATTTTAGAAGTGAAGTTTCATTTCTGATGCCTTTGGAAACTGACTCCATGTGTTTCCGGTGGGGTCTGGGCTTCTCTCTTGCAGTCTGGTCTAACCAAAGCAGTGAAGGAGAGTACCATTTCATTGCAGCAGGCAGAGTATGAATTTCTGTCCTTTGTACGGCAGCAGACTCCCCCGGGGCTCTGTCCACTCGCAGGTAAAACTCAATCCTGTGTGTCCCTTGTATGTAGTCTTCCATTGTAGTGGCTCCGGAGCCCGCGTTCCAGAAAGACCGGCCGAGACCATCATGGCTTCTGCTTGCCTGATCTGGATTGTACATCTTACTTTTGTATTTAAGTGTCCTTGTATAATTTATGAGTAGTGGAAAATGCCCTGAAACCTGACACGACATCAGGGGTACTCAGGCTAACTCAATAAAAATTGCCCCCCTATTTTTATTATGGAGAATTTTCATATGTACAGGAAAGTTGGATTCAGTCATTGTCCACCTGAGGCCGTGGGTGTTTTACCTGTCTATTTTTTGTTGGACATTTGAGAGTAAATTGCAGGCACCGTGACACTATTTCTAAATATTTCACCACACATTCCCTAAGAGTAAGGACATTTTCTTATGTAACCACAATATCATTGTCACATTAAGATACTTTAAAACAATTCAGTAACATCAGTTCATATCTAGTTCACATACAAAATGTCTAATTGTTTTGAACCAGGATTTAATCAAGAGTCATGCATTTCATTTGGTTCTTATATCTCTTTATTCTCTTAATCTAAATTGTCCAACTGTGTTTTTTTTTTTTCTTTTTTTCTTGTGACATTGACTTTTTAAAGAAACCAATCCAGTTTTAGGTTTTTAAGAGTACTGCCTTGTCAGGGAAGTTAATGTGCTATGGAGATGTATTTGTATTTGTATATGTAAATTGATAAAGTAACATTTTTTTTCAACATTCATAAAGTTTTGACGTTAAGTATTAGAGTATATATTGTATAAAATGTCCCCCTTTGCAAATGTAGCTGGTGTTTATTTTACAGTTCTTATTTCAAATTTAGTGTTTTTCATATAAATTACTGTATGGAAGCATGAACGATGATTTGTTAAAATTGGAATGTAAATAAAGGTTTCAACTTACGTGATTCATTAAATGTTAAGTTTTTAGTGTTAGTGGTGTAGATTTTGTGACATTGGGAGAAAATTTGCACATCTGGTTCATATAAAAAAGTAACAAATAGATTTGTGCATTGTTTTAAGTATGTGGAATGATCGATTTATTCTTTTGTCCAGAGAGAGACCATTTACAAATTTATTTATGAGCTAGACTAACTAAATATTCAGAATCTGCATTTGTAAGCTAATCAGACACACTGAAATCTCAGGTGCTTTTAGGATTTGTTTGAATTAAGAATAAATTATCTCCATTTTAAATACGGTATATGAATTTTTATATTCTGTTGTATACTACTAGAAATACATAGATGCAGTATACTTCATGTCTTTCTAGGAAATTCAGTTCATGCAGATAAGAAGTTTCTTGACAAATATATGCCCCAGTTCATGAAACATCTTCATTATAGAATAATTGACGTGAGCACTGTTAAGGAACTGTGCAGGTAAGGGCTGTATTTAGGAACCATTAAATTGTCTCATTTAGCATGTTTTAATTGAGAATTTGTGGAAAGGAATTGAATAGAGCTGTAGAACTCAGGATGCAAAGTGGGCGTATAGTTTTCTCATCCCATACTCACTTGGACAGGACCTTAATTTATTTTGGATTGGTGAGAATTGGGGGAAACTGTCAAAATCTTTCATACACATTTCATTAGTCCAGAAAATGTACTGAGCACCCATTCTGTGCCGCGCGTTGGTCTATGTGCTGGGAACGTGTAGATGAAAACCCTAAGTAACTTGGCTTAGAATTTAGTGGGTTGGTGTAAAAAACACACCCTAAAAATACACTGTTGGTGATTTCTTTTTTTGTTTTTTTTTTTATCCTCACCCGAGGACATTTTTCCATTTTTTTGTTCAGGTAGAGTGGGAGGGAGAGAGAGGGAACAGAGAGAGAGAGAAACATCGACGTGAAGGGACACATCGAGTGGCTGCCACCCGCACGACCAACCAGGGCCGGGGACAAACTGCAACCGAGGTACATGCCCTTAGCGGGAACCGAACCCGGGTCTCTCCGGACCGCAGGCTGACGCTCTAACCGCTGAGCCAAACTGGCCAGGGCAGACTGTTGGTGATTTCTGTAATGGGAGTGTGCATACAGACTAGGAAAGGCACAAGGAAAGGAGCATCTAAGTGCTGAGTGGGGGTCTGGGAAACCTTTACATAGGAGCGAGTTTGTTTGTGTTTTTGGTTAATCCTCACCCGAGGATATTTTTTCCATTGAGTTTTCTTTTAGAGTAGAAGGGGTGGGGGGGGGGGGAGAGAAAGAGAAACATCATCAATGTGAAAGAGACACATGGATTGGTTGCCTCTCTTATGTGCCTTAAATGGCAGGAGATCAAACCTGCAATCCAGGTATGTGCCCTTGACCAGGAATCGAACCCGCCACCCTTCAGTGCGCAGGTCGATACTTTAACCACTGAACCATACCGGCCAGGGCAGGACATAGCTTTTAAGTTGAGATTTAAGGGAGTGTGGAAGTTTTCCACAAATCAGGTGAGGAGAGAGTATTCTAGAAAATGGGAGGAGGTGTAAAGATAGGAGGGAGCAGGAAGATAAGGACAAAACAAGTTCAGGGAATCACAAATAGTTCGTTAATGCTGGGGTGCAAAGCATGAGGTTGGAAAAGTGGGAGATAGGCCCTGTTATGAAGGGCTTGGATGTCCCGCTAAGGAGGTTGACGTTTCTCTGGTAAGGGATGGGGTTCCTTTGAAAAGTTGAAATAGAAGAATAGAAGGTGTCAAGAAAAGAGATGGAGATGAGAGAGGAGTCTGGCATCACCTTGGAGAGAAGGAGGAGCCAGGGAAATGGCAACTGGGTGGTAGAGAAGGGTTGGGATAAAGTTTTTGAGAAAGTCATCTGGCCGGCGTTGAGTGCTGGGATGGCGAAGTGGGGATGAGGAGGAGATGTAAAGAGATTCTAGTGTTTCTAGTTTGGGCAATTAGGTAGATGATGGAACTCTTCGAAGATGAAGGGGAAAGTAAGAGAAAAGGTAGATTTGGGAGATGGGGGAAGGGAGGTGTTGAGGATGGGTATGGTTTCAGATAGCTGACTTCGAAATGTCTGGTGGATGTTTAGGTGTTGCCTCCAGCAGGCAGTTGGCTATCCATGACAAACTCGGGAGAGGGCTGGGCTGGTGTTAATAGATTCAGGAATCGTGTGCATTGATGAACTTGCCCCAAGAATATATAGACTGAAGATAGGACAGGGTGGAAGATAGGGAGGCTCAGGCAACTCCATAGTCACACCCCAAGTGCTTTTTTCAGTTCATAAGTTGTTTAAAAAGTTATTCAGTATATTTGAGACCCTTGCCTTTGAGAGTTCCCTTTTTGCTGTGTATAGACGCTGGTATCCAGAAGAATATGAATTTGCACCAAAGAAGGCTGCTTCTCACAGGTAAGTTTGTTTCCTTCCAGTGCTTGGAAATCTGGCAGGCCAGATTGCTGACTGCATGAGATAATGTCTCGCCCACTCTTCTCCTTGGGGGGGAGATACAGTACAGCTCGCTAAAGGAACTTCTTTTGCAAAAACTATCAGAAATTCTGGTCGTGATTCTAGCATTTCATTCTGAGATATGTAGGGTCTTGCAGTTTTAAAACTTTTAGATAACTTAGTTGGTAGGTATGTGAAGCAAATTTTTCTAGTAATGAGCAGTATTAATTTTCTTCCCAGCAAGAATATAAACGTGTAGCCATTTAAAATTAGAACACTTTGTGTATCACTGAATATACAGTTTTTCAGATTGTTTCTTCTGTGTTTGCAACTTTAGGAACAAGTATTGATTTTGTCATCTTTCAGGAGGAATATAAAACTTGGTGGGGGACTTAGCAGCTGGCTTCCAAGGGCAGCATTTGGTCATCCATTTACTGTGCTCCTACTGTGTGCCAGGAACAGGTAGAGGCAAACGCAGAAAGACCAAGTCCCTGCTCTAGAGAGCCTGGCATCTTAGTTCTTTTTTTTTAAATTGTACTTGTATGGATGACAGCACAGTAATACACAGGTAGAATATCTTACCTGAAAGAATTGGGGCTTCATGTGCTTTGGATTTTAGAATTTTTTAGGTTTTAGAAAGGTAAAGTACATCGGTAGTGATTATGTAGTACGAACAAGGTCTGAGGCCACACCCCATAGTAAAAAACATTGGTATTTCTGCAGTGAGATGTACAAATGTTCACAATGAATATAAATAGCCTCACATCAAGATTGGTCAGGTTGTACCACATTATGGGTTATAAAAAAGTACTTTGGGTTTTTAGGTCATTTTTGGATTTCAGTATTGTGGATAGGATGTTTTACACCTTGATTAAGCCAGGGGCTGTGTTTTATACTTTCAGCTCTCCACCATGTATCCAGGACCTGGGAAGAAAGCAACATTGTTACTTTAACCACAGAAAGAACTGTTGTAAAACTCTTGCACCAAAGTTGGTGCAGTTTATTCTCTAGAAGAGGCCATTGGCCCATCCTTCAGAACTTAGTGATTTACTTGCACACTGTCGGGGTAACCTTGGTTACCTGATTTCTCAGCCCACAGCAGATGAGACACAGCATGTTGGAGGAGAAGGCTGTTAGGCGAAGGCAGGCTGCCACTGATCATAGCGTAAACCATCACAAGAGAGGAGGGAGATCTTCCTTTGTGGTTAGGTATCGCCTCATCATTGATGCTTACAGTGATGGCTGAGTCATGAGTACGTTCCAGTATGTCAATATTTTGTGCGGGGATGTCGTGAAGTATGGCAGTGTTTGCCGGACTGTGTTCCAGGAGCTTAACTTTTCCACTGATGTGGTCGATGAAGTTTAGAAATACTGTGTATATAGTACAACTTCCTCTTGGCAATTCAGAGTACACTTTAGTACATTAAATGCTTTGCAAGGGACTTCAAAAAAGAAATGTTTAATCTAGTTTTTCCTAAACTTACTGGCCCTGGAATTCTTTTTTCTGTGCACTACCTCAGCATCTTATGAAACTGTTTTGGGAAACTTTAATTTCTTATATATTAGAAAAAAAAAATTTAAACAATTTTTAAAAAGCACTTACATTTGCTTTACTGAAATGTTCCAGTTTTTTTTTTTTTTTTTAATATTTTAAAAATTGATTTTTAGAGAGGAAGGGAAAGGGAGAGAGAGGCATTGACGTGAGAGCAAAACATTGACTGACTGCTTCCTGCATGCCCCCCCCCCCACGTGGAATGGAACCCCAAACCCAGGCATTTGCCCTGGCTGGGAATCGAGTAACCTTCTGATGCATGGATGGCGCCCAGCCAGCTGAGCCACACCACCAGGGCAAAGTGGCCTAGTTCTCGATGCCAGACAGTGGCCTCTGCATTGGGACCTGTTGCTCTTCAGCCACGTGCAGTCGGGCTCTGTAAAGGGACCGGCGTCTCCTCCGCGGCGTTTCAATTCACTCCGTCTGTTTGCTTGCAGGGCACTTGATGACATTAGTGAAAGCATCAGAGAACTTCAGTTTTACCGAAATAACATCTTCAAGAAAAAGACAGATGAGAAGAAGAGGAAAATCATGGAAAACGGGGAGAACGAGAGGCCCGTGAGTTGATGCAGCGCCCAGGCTGCAGCGCCCCGGAGCAGCGTCTGGCGGTGGGGTTCATGCCCCCGCCCGCGCCCCTCCTCACACTTCACCGCACCTCCGATTCTCCCGCGACAGCGCCGCACGCGATTGGCCTCCTAACACGCTGTTTTCACTTATGACAGCAGCTGCTTTGTAAGTGCCAGGTCATGTCCATCCCCTGGTACAAACCTGCATTTGCTTTTAGATCATTTCTTCTTCTTCTTTTTTTTTTTAATAAATAATAAAGCTAGTTCTATTGAAATGCAAACCTTTTTGTACCATCTATTCTTTAGTAGTTTAATCATTGCAAAATGATGACCTTTTCTCTTTTGAGCTGGTGTGGCTAATGTTTAAGTGCTTAGGCTGTCAGGAATGGATTAAGTTTCTTATGAGAAATGGGAAGGGAGCTTGTTCTGTTTTGCTTTACAAAGTCAAGACTAGAACAACTTGAGATAGATTCAGAGAAGCAGATTTGGGTTCATTTTTATAGTTATCAAATTAGCAGAGGCTCGGAATAACTGTTCCTCACTGTATTCAAGAAATCAAGTAGGTCATCCGATGGGTTCTGCAGGTAATAACTAAGGCTTACTGGGTAGATACTATGTTTAAGGCTGTCCCTGTGCTACGGTGATAGAATGTAAACAGATGGCTGCCCTAGTGATGGTCAGTCAGTATTTGAGAAAGCATTTCAGTTTGAATATCTCAGCTCATAGTGTATGTCCTTCGAGCACAGTACTAAGGTGATTCAGCCAGAGGGTACATTAGAATCATGTGCCTGTAGGACTCGTCCCGTTCCGACAGAGGCCTCCTGAAGACATCAGGATTGGGAAAGGCCCACAGGGGACTGTTTCCTGGAGGACCACTGAGCTGAAAGACTGGGGTGGTCTCCAGGTGCATCCGAACTCGGTCATGGCCATTACGTGGACATCGCAGATACGGAAACCACTAGCCGCTAGATCAGAATTCTCTCGTGATTCACTTTCCAAGTTGTTCTACTTACAAAGCCTAATGAGTGGAGAGAGACTTTGGTGCAACTTGTTCCAGATGTGTAATTTCAGGCTCAAACTCCCAAGTGCAGCATGTGAGAATCGATGAAAACATGTCTGCTGACTTCTGGCCATTTGAAATGGCATGGGCTTTCATCCTGTCCCAGCTGCAGTGTTCGGAAGACAGAGCTGATAATCGCTTAGAACAGGGCTCTGAGCCAGACTCGGTTCCCACTGAGCTCCATGACGTACCGAGTCCGCGGCAAGGTCACTTCCGAGCCTCAGTTTTCTTATCTATAAAATGAGAATGGTGGCACCTAACTCAAAGAATTGTTGCAAGTAAATTAAATACTACTCACATAGTAGTACAGTTCCGAGTTCAGTGAGCACCCTATCGTGACAGCTAACACATGATGGTAACGGGTGGATTCAGCCTTTATCAGGGTAGGGCGTTGGGGGCAGGGTGCTGTCCTGGGCCAGCTCTGCTGGCTGGGGTTATCTTACCCTGTTAGCTTAAGGCCTGGGACTATATGATACGACTGTGACAAACTTCACCAACACCGATCTTGATTGTTTTAGTGCTTCTCACTAAAATTTGGGAAGATGGCCATTGACCTTAGGTGACTCTCAGGAATGTTATAAATTCTAATGCAAGAAAAGATACGAAAACATTGGGTTGTGAAAGAGGTTCGTGCGAAGCAGATTCCGCTGCTGACGCTGGAGGACTCCCCCACCCAGCCGGCCTGTTCACTCAGGTTGACAGCCCTGCCCCTTTGTTTTCCGAGGAGTTTTAACTCCTGGTGTTTATGTTAAATCTTGTGTCACATGAATGGCCAGCGTAACTGATGTAATTTTTTGTTCTGTGTCTTCATGATGTAGCAGAGTTCTCTGTTACCCCTAATGGAACGTGTGTCCATTTTTAGTGAAATAATTGGCAGCCTGTGAGAGAAGCGAATCTGGCCTGATGCAAGTCTGTATGAAGACATGATTGTTAAGTGATTAATGTATTAGTCTGCTTACAAATAAGAAGTATAAATTGGTAGTACTGGCAACTATGATTTCACAGGGGATTCCTGAAGCTATGAAATAATTTCTGTGAAATGAACTGCAATGCAAATTGGTTTAAATATAACTCCAGCCTTAGAAATGATCAGCGTGTTTGTGGCAGAGCCCGCCACTCCTGTGCTCCTGGGGCTGTTCCTCTGGCGGTTCTTCTGTCTGCTGTAATTATCCTGCAAGCTGTACTCAGGGTCCTCCAGGAACGTTCCCCTGCAGTAACTCACGCGGTGCACGAGTCTGCTGCGCTGAGCCTGCTCAGTGTCCCTCGAGTGCTCAGATTGTCCAGCCGCTGTGCCGAGTGCGTGGGCGAGAAGGGCCTGCTTGCTCGGCAGCTCGGCCAAAGGAGATGGGAATGGGACCCGGGACACCTGTGTTTTCTCATTTACCAAACAATGTATTCCTTTATTAATAAACCAGCTGATAAATTCACTGGGAAAGTGATAGTTTTCTTTGCCTTAAAGAAAAAGAATAGCTTGTCGTAATGATCAAGTTCAGTTTTGTCATTAAATACAATCTGACACTTAGATTGGCTGAGATAGTGCATGAAAGTCCTACGTACACTACAGCGCCCTAAGATCTTGAAAAATTAATAAGCAGCGAAGACAGTAGAAAATGGGTTGTTGCTAGGTAAGACATCTGTAGCAGATTATTGAAATAAAAGTGATCATATAACTATGTATCTGTTGATGAGGCAAAGCTATTATATCTATTGACACTATTTCTATTTTGAAAATTACTGATTTTAGTTATCTGAGCAAAGCTTTTCATTTTGTGTGGGTATTTTTTTTTTTTAATCCTTTGACTTTCCCTTTATGTGGCTTCTGATAAAACCATAGCCATGCTGGTAATGTAAATGAAGAGTTCTTCTCACTGAGTTTTTCTATTGAATAGAAGAATTTTCTACAAGGGTAGATCTGAAATCTACACACACACGCACACACACACACGCACACACACACACAGGTAACTAGGTAGAGGTGATGGATAAGTTATTAGCTTGATGGTGATTTCCCCCCACACTATACAGTTACATAAAAGCATTAAGTTGTACACCTTAAATATATTGCTGTATGTCAAAGGTATCGCAATAAAGTTGTTAACATATATGTTTAAAATGCTGCTAAAAATAAGGGATTAGAAGTCTTCATTCTACTAGAATTCAGGCAGATGTAATAGTTGCTTTCGTAATTGAGTTGTCAAGTTGAATTCATAGGACCTGAGACTTAACTTGGTCCTGAGGATAATTTAATCCATTTAGTTTTACGCCGGGGTTATAATACCACTGGTATTCTATGGTACAGAAAACAGAAGTCTCTCATTAGGAATAAGCGCCAGAAAATGGGAAGGTTGGGGAGTGGGGAGTAAAAATATGTTCTTGTGCAAATGAAAACATATCATGAACAGCCTGCAGAATCCTTGGGGACCCAAAGTTGCATGATTTGGGTTGCACAACGATCAATGTACTTAATGCTACTGAACTGCACATTGAAAAATGGCAATATGGTACATTTTATTTTATGCATATTTTACCACTAAAAATGAGACATAATTTGCCATGACCCATTTCAGAGTGATGCATTCTGGGGACCAGTGTGTAATGGGACTGGGCTTGGAGCCGCTGGACTGTGGGACCCTTGCTCACGCCCTTGCGAGGCGCAACTTTCCTTTGTTTCTCAACATGTAACCGTTTTCTGCTGAGCCAGCGTCAAAGCGGCGTAAGGAATCGCTGGTTTTGTTTACAAAGGACATTTAACAAAATTAATATCCTTTGGGAGCATCTAACTTCCTTGTTTCCAAATTTAGCTATATGAGTTGGGGCAAAGCAGTATTTGAATTCTGGGTTAGGGGTACTTCTTGGATAATCTGGGTCAACAGGCCCTAGGAGCCCAGCCTGTTTGTTTCTGAGAAAACACTGCCACTTGCAGCCCACTCCCAGCTCACAGCTTCAACTGAACAATAGACTTCTCTGTTGAACTGGACAAAATGTAGTTCTCTGCCTCGCTCATCGTCCTCGCACTCTCTTTGTTCAAATCATTTGTTTTTCTTGCACACACTCGCATCTTTACAATTCTAGGGCTTTTAAAGTACTTCGTGATATCCTTCTACAGCCTTATTTTGTCTTTAGAGTCTTTTGTGAAATAGGTTGACATGATAGCCTGATCATTTTATGCTTATATTTAGCAACCAGCAGAAAGCAATTTCAAAAAAACTAAAAAGTAGGACAGATGTTAGGGACACTCTGAAGAAAAGTCCTAGCCCTCCCTAGAGTGGAATTGGAGCAAAGGTGCTCCTGTTCGAACTATTTATGTGAAATACAAGCTTCCAGAAATGTGGGGGTTGGCATTACATGCTCCAGGGCCACCCCTTACGAGACAACCTAGTTTCCTCCTCAGACTATCAATATTTGTTTGAAATAGTTTTGGGTTTTATAAGTAGCAAAATGTTTACATTATTTGGGTACTCCACAGAGGTGGCCAACTTCTACTTTGCCAAGTAAGGATGTTAAAAATACCATCTCCTATCACTACAATTTCATAAAAGAAAAGACATTTTAAAATATATAAAGGGACATAACTTCAGGATAAAGGACAGTTTCTTTCAATTGAATACATTTAGTTCTGTGAAAAATCCAAGCATGTTCTTATTTTTTTGCTTTGCACCCTAGATCGAAAAACACACCACCTTTATTCTGGCTGGTGTCAGTCCCTAGAGGGGAGTTTGGGGATCACTGGTGTATTGTTCCTGAGACTTCTGTCCAAAACACTCCTGGAGGAGAAGAGAGAAGTTGTATTTTATACTACCAATTATTCTTTTTCCTGTTATTTGAAAAATAATTCTTTTTTAATTAATCCTTATCCGAGAATACCTTTCCATTGATTTTTTAGATCAAGTGGAAGGGAAGGAGGGAGAGAGAGAATCATGGATGTGAGAGAGACACATGGATTGGTTGCCTCCCGAATGGGGCTAGGGATTGAACCTGCAACTCAGACCTGTGCCCTTGACCGGAAATCAAATCTGAGACCCTTTGGTCCACAGGCCTATGCTTTAACCGCAGCGCCAGACCCGCCAGGGCTTTCCCCAGGGTATTACATGAAAAGATTCGGAAGAGATCCACAGAGCCTCATTGCGATCTGCTTGAAATACAGTTGTGTGGTGTGTTAGTGGTCACAGCATCACAGGA